CACTAAAGGAATACACATCTATTGTTTACACTGACTACAATAACAAGTAAAACTAACTCTGAACACTTGCTAATTAGATTATCCCTCTATATCTCAGTATAAGTATTCAGTTATTATTTAAATGATCATTCCCTGTTTGTTTATAAATTGTTATTAACAACAACTTACATAGATCTCGAAAAGAAAGGTTCGTTTACGTTTTAAGCAAAAAATGTTTCTGTTAAAGATTAACTATTTGTTACACCATATCAGGTGTTATCTGGTAACCATTGTACTAGGAAAAATAAATGATATACAGAGAGTAAAATGTTGACGTTTGTACTTACACATGTTCTATACACACAAATACTATCTTATGTTAAGCGATGATTAACTATTCCGCTAGCTCTTCTACCCACAACTCACAACGGTACAAGCTTTAAATGTCTTTCGACTTTATCCAAATATTTGGAGATTATATCATACAGTCTCTGTCTAATGTGTTATGAGATGTCCCTCGAGCGAGTCATGTTCTTTGGACTAAAAATATACAAGTCATTATTATTTATTTTATTTACGTGTATATATAGTTATACCATATTTGTAGTTTCTAGTATTAAGATAACCGAATACAATCGATTTTACGACAATATTTGGCACGCTCATAGGGGGAAATAGGTACACGTTATAGTAAAGTGGAAATGTTAAGTGCAATGGGACCATCAGCAAAGTTTGATTAAATGAAATGTTCGATAGTGAGATGTAAGGTATGATATTTCACTTTTTCAACGTTGGTACAAATGTACATGTATAATCTTTAGCAGTTACCTTGCTCACCTTTAGCGACAGAACAGGCGTATGTGCACCAGCTTGGATTGTAATATCTACAATCCAGGTAACATACCGTACATGTTGGTATAATGTTTTCATTTGAATGTACATATTGATGTTAAAGAAAAGAACAACGTATGCGCGTGTATTATGGTGGAATATTTAACGAGGGTGAGAAAATGTTGAAACAATAATTACATTGCGATTGAGTTGATTATTGTTTCAACATTTTCGAATCCCAATATATATATATTCCACCATAATATACAAATACGAGTTGATGATATCTATTCTACCAAGTAGATTGTTATGAAAGCCTTGTTTGCCTACCCCAGTGTCCATACGCCTACGATAAGCATATATGGTGACCATCATTGGAATTGGACTGTTTGCGCGCGCTTACATTTGGCACGTAATGCCTGTCTTTATTTCACAATACAAATCGCGTTTTATCATTTTTGACCCTGTGGACAGTTGTCCTATTTTTTTCTTTGTAACATTGATATATTTTTGAGAAGGACAGTTCATTTTCTGTCGCAAATTGGTCGACCAAAGATAAATGATTATCACTGATGTTATGCTTTTGACCATATGTGTACACTATTTCAATCAATCAAATCCAGCAATCTATCGATATTGCTCGTCAACATATGAAACCAAAATTTGACAGATTTAAAAATTCGGCGGAACATTCTGACCGCGAGCTTTACAAGTTTTAAGAAGATCTTGAGGTTCGATGTTTTTGTTTGTCCGCTAGCAAATCTTCAAATTCATAGGAAAGATAAATACGGGTAACTGAGACTAGTCCCATAGCTTGCTTGTTTACATTTGCGGGGGAGGCTTTTGGAAGACCGTTGGTCTGTTAGAAAATAATGCACGTGCGTGGTCTATAGTCCAATGATACATCGGTTTAAACAAATAAAAAGTGTCATTCCATTGCAAACGTGGTGAATGCTAGATAAAGGGTATTCTATGTGTAGGCGTTTGTGTATATATGTGTTTTCATTCGGTAACAACCACCCAAATGCTATGTAAGTTTGTGTATTGCCAGTAAAATATAAATACTCTATTTTCAGATATATCTGACGTGTTTGCTAGTCTTCGGTTATCGGACGTATCCGGTAGTTCCCGGTTACAATGGGAGAACTCGTGCGGAGGCTTGACTACGAGCGACGAGCGAGCCATTTGTTTAAAAGTGACCCTAAAACTCGTTTTTTGACCAAAGAGTTTAGTCAACCAGTGAAATCTGCGAACGCCCTTGTTTAGAGGTCAAAGGTAAAAACACTGGCAAATTTGAGAGAGGAAATCAAATTCTATGGGATAAAACATGACCAGGAAAAGGTGGACTTGGAAATATTCCGTAAAGGACTTGGTCTAAAATCGGTCAATTTTGAAGAGTCGCGATTTCAGCAAATGAGATGCAGGTCCTCGATGGTTGTTAAGAGTGCAAATGAATTGAGTGCAGACCGGATACTGCGTACAGTGCCTAGCAACTATGTCCTGGACTTCGGACCTGGCAACAGGCCGATTTACACTACCAACGACCCAAAAAAGGTCCGCCGCACACTATCCACCTCCGACACCCAAAGTTCAAAGTCAACACAACATGGATCGTTACGACCGTCGTACAGGTCGAAATCAGCTTTTTCACGACAACCGCCAAGAAACAATCGGAAGACGCCCGTGGAAATGCGTTGTAAAAGTGTTGGCGCTGACAGACTGTCACAGTCTACCCAAAGACAGGGATATCCATTTGCGAAAGTGAACACAACCAGTGTTGTTAACCAGCAGAAAAACCCCAGACCACAGAAAATGGGCCAACTCAAAAGGCGTTCATCGTCATTATCAGATTTAGATTATGAGAACGAAAGTGTTTTTGAAGGGGAAAACGCCGATGAGATCGATGAAAATGAAAGCGAAGAATTAACCAGTAACCAAAAATCCTATCGTTTCCTCCGTGAGGAATACTCGATCAAGTCAAAAGTTCTTCCGGACACACATAAAGAGAATTTGAAACGTCTCAAAAACCTGGAGTTGTCACATCTGCATGCTCTGGGAGAGCGCGTCCATAAGTTTACAGCCGGTATCCATGCCCTCGCATCAAGACGGAAGTACGTGACAACATCAACATCGCCTTTACGTCTTTGATTGTTCCATCAAGTGCACGGTGTCTGATTTGATAGGAACACAATGTAACCAAAGTATTGTAAATAACACTCATACGTCGTATTTATTTATTTAATATAGCACACCAAGCAAAGATCTGTGTAATTGTCTGTCCAGGATTGTAATTGTCTGTCCAGGATTGTAATTGTCCGTCCAGGATTGTAATTGTCCGTCCAGGATACGGCAAGCGGTAGAAGCTAATCGATTCACTGGACACATTTACTGATAATCTGTACCAATCAGGAAAGATGTTATACAATTAACTGACAGTGCCGACCACACGTCAATTGGTAGATGCTCCGGTGTGTTTTTTTATATGATATAGATATAAACTTTATTTATTTTACAACAATCATGAAACAGGTTATTTAAACTTACATTGATAGCGCGCACGGTGTCTTAATGTGGGAGGAAACCTTGGTGAAAGACAAGTGCACTATCCACTGCGCCACCCGACCGCCAAATATTTTTTTTTACTTTGTATTATGTTATCAGTGTCAAACATCTTAATATTTCATAAACGCCGAGTTTCATTTACATCTGTCCACGAATCGTCGACAAAGGCACGTGCCCTTAGACATCATTTATAATTTTAACTCTTATATTGTTGTCATAATGAATAATACAATATCTAAACCAAAATATTCTTATTATTGTCGTTCTATTCTTTGGGGTAGACTTACGTAGGTGTATATATACATAAGTGTTCTTATGGAATTCAAACAGTCAGGAGCACCACAAATGTTGTGATACCTTTGTTTTTTCTTGGTTTACCATTAGAATTTTATATAGTTTTAAAAAGAAAACACAGGTCAAAACAACGGCCATTTTTATTTAAATCAAAATGGAGACATTTTATATTATGAATAAGACAATGAATGAAAAATTATGTACAAAATACTCGAATAGATATATCTATCAAACAATTTGATTATGTATCACATTGATGTTTTTCATGGTTATAGTTGACTGTCTGATCGGTAAATGAAACACAACAAGTGTTTAATCTGTACAAAAGATATCAACTAGGTAATTTACAACCATGGACCTTAATAATAGCTACAATGCTAATTCATAGCCATAGACCTTAATAATAACTACAATGGTAATTCACAACCATAGACCCTAGTAATAACTACAATGGTATTCACAACCATAGACCTTAATAATAGCTTCAATGGTAATTCACAACCATAGACCTTAGTAATAACTACAATGGTAATTCACAACCATAGACCTTAATAATAGCTTCAATGGTAATTCACAACCATCGACCTTAGTAATAACTACAATGGTAATTCGCAGCCATACACCTTAATAATAACTTCAATGGTAATTCACAACCATAGAACTTAGTTATAACTACAATGGTAATTCACAACCATAGACCTTAGTAATAACTTCAATGGTAATTCACAACCATAGACCTTGATAATAACTACAATGGTAATTCACAACCATGGTCCTTAGTAATAACTACAATGGTAATTCACAACCATATACCTTAATAATAACTACAATGGTAATTCACAACCATAGACCTTAATAATAACTTCAATGGTAATTCACAACCATAGACCTTAATAATAACTACAATGGTAATTCACAACCATAGACCTTAATAATAGCTTCATTGGTAATTCACAACCATAGACCTTAGTAATAACTACAATGGTAATTCACAGCCATAGACCTTAATAATAACTTCAATGGTAATTCACAACCATAGACCTTAATGATAACCACAATGGTAATTCACAACCATAGACCTTAATAATAACTACCATGGTAATTCACAACCATAGACCTTAATAATAACTTCGATGGTAATTCACAACCATAGACCTTAATGATAACTTCAATGGTAATTCACAACCATAGACCTTAATAATAACTTCGATGGTAATTCACAACCATAGACCTTAATGATAACTACAATGGTAATTCACAACCATAGACCTTAGTAATAACTTCAATCAATAACATCAAAATATCTACATATTAGATATAACAAACATAGGTCATCAACTATAATAATAAACGTTTATACCGACACTCTGGAATATCATTTATATATTTGTAATGCATAACACATCTACTGATGATAAACATTAATAGATTTTGGACACATACATACGTTTAAGTGATGTTTTCAACTCAATTAACAATACTGACTTAACAATATACAACGAGTCAGAAATAGTTATTGCGTTAAAGTCAATAAGTGCATGGATCTATATTATGTAACAGGTATTCCTACAAAATAGATTTAGGGTTTAACCTTCACGAGTAGGGTATTGATAGCATTTCGAAAATGTTGAAAGAAAACAATTCTGACTGTAGCCGAAACGGCTTTTGTTAACAAATTTCCAATATTTTCCACCCTGGCTATACATCTAAATACAAACACATCAGTAGATTATTCTTACATTACTCTACTTTCAGTGTTTTACAAAATAACTAAACATATAAATGTTTATTTCAGATTCGCTATATTTGCACATTACGATCTCCGACGTTCTGGAGAGAAAAAAATCCTTCAAGGATGTTTTACAGTGTTATGGTAATTAAGTCAAATCATTATCATATTATTACAGGATAACACAAGTTATTTACAAGTTATCACTTCCAAATGAATCAACAATATGGTAACACTTGAAAGGCACACATTCTCATCCAATTGTAACGTGTATTGTTACCACTGACCTCCTACGAGTGAATCTTATGATGTTGAAGAAAATAAATGTTTCTTTAAACCACCACAAACGGCATAAAAATTGTGTTTCTATAATCTAAAAAACATATTTGTTTTGTATCAATGTAACACGTTCAGTTGCTAATGATTCTTGGTGCATCTGGTTCCGGTTCCTCGTCAAACGTCGGCTCTTCTACCAAATCTATATCTATTTCCGGAAGTTTGCTTAGATAAAGTTCTGCTTCTTCTAGAATTGAATCGTCATCCAGTTTCCTTAGCAACTTAAGGACTCGGTTTCTTATATCTTTAATTACAAATAGAACAAAGCATTATTTTGATATCAGGAATAGGTATCCCTAACTGTTAAATCTCTGTTAGTACATGAATACCAATGTGAGCTTACAACAATGTACTACTTCTGACATCTTACAACCATGTACTACTTCTGAAATCTTACAACCATGTACTACTTCTGACATCTTACAACCATGTACTACTTCTGACATGATGGTAAATCGACCATATATCATCTGCTTTGTTTGGAACACAAACAATATTGAAAATTGATATTTTTATTCATTTTTAGCTTTCAGAAACATCTGTTTACATTGTCAAGCAAAGAATTCAAATGACCGATAGTGTGACCCTATATATAGGATACTATTGAAAACGAATTGCTAAACAACAATTTGCCGAGTCATTAAATCTGCTGTTATAATTTATCGAGACATTTCACCAAATTAACACTCTAATACTGTACACAGTCAGAGGGACGGATATTATGTTTATCCATCCCGCCCTTTCTTGGATGTAAAAATGGGGTCATAAAGATAACTCAGCTGGTGTTCCCCCCATCTCTGTTCAACTTTTCACCGTCCGTTCTTATCCAGATGATTAGTTTTATTTTATTTTGTTACCAGTTGTCGTCCCTTTCAATCCCCGGCCAGTTTCACTGTTATATATATATGATTGCAGCTGTTACATAGGATTTGGTAAATCATCCCTGTCATTTGGTACAGTGTACCAGGATGGCTTGTACAAGTGGAAAACCAGAACACCATTAGTGTTTTCAACGTGTTGTTACTTTTCTGTCACTTATCCTTATCGGCCATTGGGGCATACACAGGGTCTGTTTGATATGCCACTGTTCATTTTCCATGTCTTCCAGTTCAGTTTCGATGTTTATGCATCTGTCCAGTACGAACTACCCCCAAAACAGCAATTTGATTGAACTGTCAGCCAACTCAGGATAACGGTATCCAGGAATGAAAAATCTTCTTCTCGTGTTAATCTTATGGAGTCTGTAGCATCTGCCTAGGTTAAGTGAGTTAATATGTTTATTACCTCACTTTTCTTGACTACTGCAAAACAATGTCGTCAATCTATCTTTCCATCTTTAAGACTATACACCATGGGAGCAGTTGTGATGGCTTTCTGCTACAGATGCTCCACCAAGAGGTTATCAACAACAGATGATACCGGCCTCAGATTAAGTGTGCTCCTAAATGAGAAATATGTGTGATGAGTACTAACTTAAACAACTCGACGATGTTGTAAACAGGACGGCTTGTTCTCTTTATCAGGGTTTTGTCTCCTTTTAAGCTATCTCTTATGAACTTCCACTCCTCGTCCACAGGTGTATTGGTCAAGAGGGACACTGTGTATCTGAAAGTATCTTCCTCTTCAACAGTGATGACAGCCAGATCCGGAGCCAATATTTTGAGTTTTTCACGTGGTGTTCTCTTTTTCCACCGGTGGACCGAGCATGTGTGCAAGCCATCCCGATACACTGTACCCAATGGAACCAGTGTAATCCATAATAGGACGGAATTGATAGCCTGGCTTGTGGATCGGACAGTATATGCGGGGATATTTTTGTATATAGGGTAGACCTATATTATTTTTCACTGATAGTGCCCTCGTTCACATCCACTAAGAGACGGTAAACATATTACCCGGCGTTCTGACTACCTAGGTATTAGAGAGTAATTTTCACTCTTTGCTTGACAAAGAAAATAGGTGTTTTCGAACGCTCCATAGCTGTTTAAGTTCAAAACAAACATAGAACATGTTATGTATACCAAACTGACGAATTTCATTCCGAAAACAACCATACAGTGTTCGTTTGGGAAATATATATTAGAATAAAATATAAAACACAATTACCAACATGATTTATATCTTCATATATCAACAGTGTAAGTGATACTTACCGACTGTTGTTTTCTTTATCAATCATCACTTATTACAATGTGCATACTAATTAGTTTTGATATCTTTATCAATCAACACTCGGAGTAATTGCATACTTACCGACTTTGATATCTTTATCAATCAACAGTCGGAGTAATTGCATACTTACCGACTTTGATATCTTTATCAATCAACACTCGGAGTAATTGTATATTACCGACTTTGATATCTGTATCAATCAACACTCGGAGTAATTGCATACTTACCGACTTTGATATCTTTATCAATCAACAGTCGGAGTAATTGCATGCTTACCGACTTTGATATCTATATCAATCAACACTCGGAGTAATTGCATACTTACCGACTTTGATATCTTTATCAATCAACAGTCGGAGTAATTGCATACTTACCGACTTTGATATCTGTATCAATCAACACTCGGAGTAATTGCATACTCACCGACTTTGATATCTGTATCAATCAACACTCGGAGTGATAGCATACTTACCGACTTTGATATCTTTATCAATCAACACTCGGAGTAATTGCATACTTACCGACTTTGATATCTGTATCAATCAACAGTCGGAGTAATTGCATATTACCGACTTTGATATCTGTATCAATCAATACTTTTTTTTCTTTTAGCTTACATCATGATATGAAGTAACTACTTTCAATTTAATTAAATAATTATCATATTATTTGCAGGAGTTGGTGTAACCCTACTTACAAATTATATATCTATTTGCTGAAATTGGCTTTTGTTCCTCAGCAGTGTATAGCTAGTGTGTTATACATATCTGTTGCGGGAATAAATCAAATATCACCAAATATTTATACTCAACAGTTTACCTTATATGAATACCATTAACGCATTGTCTAATACTTGATATTATTCACTGAAGATAATAGTCTAGTAAATATCTCAAATTAAATATCCCTAGTGAAAGGGTTACTATTTCAAGAATATTGAACATGTCTGTTTACATCAAGGAGTTACTTCCCCTTATCCAAATCATCATATCAATGTATATATACATGTCTGCGTTTCTTACCACCTGTTGTCACCTTAAAGAGAGGACTTAGATGTCTGATCCTATTTACTATTGCTTATATTGTCAATAAAGTTTGTTGAAATTGAAATTGAATAATCGGAGTAATTGCATACTTACCGACTTTGATATCTTTATCAATCAACACTCGGAGCACATGATGTTTGTTTTGTTGTAGCTGGTCTTCTTCCTCTGTTGTAAAGGTGTATCCCACTGATAACTTTGTCCTATGCTCATCCGACAGACGGAGAGATATTTCATTCAGTACGTCATAATGACTCGATGCTCTCCGAATTTTCATCTTGGAACCTGCATGTATAATTTTCATAACTTGTACCCCGGAGGATATATACATGTGTAGTTATCAAAACCTATACTAGGCAAGGTATCTACAAGTGTAATGATAAAATATTACCCACGACAAAAAATAAATTGCATGGATGTTCAAAAAAGAGGTCACTGTTGTAGAAATCCAAAACATTTTTTGTTATAGTTTATTCTAGATATCACCTTTTGTAGTCAGTCATCCTTACACCTTGGGTATTTTTCTAAGAGAGAAAGCGATGATCCCCACAAATTCAACAAGGCATCACAAGTGATACAAATCCCCTCGCATTGACACATTGTGACATATGTAAAAGGAAACGTAGTCGCTAGAGCGATGCCAAGTTTTTTTTCTAAAAATAGTAAAAGTAACATTGACCTTTAACGCAGTAACCTGAAATGCGAAGTTGTTCAAGAAATTGCCATACCAAACACTTGTATCAAGTTTCATGAAAATATGTTGAGGAATGAAGTTGATAGAGCGATGACAAAAAAAATCTATAAATAGTAACAGTGACCTTTACCTTCAACGTGGAGACCCGAAACGCAAGCATTTTCAAAGTATTGACATACTACACACTTGTATGAAGTGTTATGAAATTCCGTTGAGGAATGAAGTCGGTAGAGCGATGACAAAGAGTGTAACATACGTACGTACGGGCGGAATCCTATGTCCCCTCTAACTTTCGTTGGTAGGGGATAATAATGTTAAAATATACTTGAATGTTATGGAACAGGTCAAGCATTCCATGGGGAAAGTAACAGTAGCAAAAGGTTTATTTCCTAAGGACGTTCTACTAGAACTAACCACTGGTTGATCGCCTGTAAATACACCGACTTTTATCAGGTGTATCCGAACCACTGACAGCCGGCTGGAGACTGACCAGTTCTTTCTCTCTACGGATCAATCGTGTCTCAGTGTCTTCGAGATCTTTCTGTAGCTGTTTGTTCCTGTTTAGCAGCTTGTTTACTTCATCACGTTCATTTAATTTTTCTGGGGTTTCAAATTTTTCATCTTAAAAAATAAATAAATCCATACAGTAAAAAAATATAAAATTCAGACACAGATGATTAATTTGCCATTAGCGGATTGTTCAAACGTATATGTAGTCTGATGAGGTTCAGAAGAATTCAATCGTTAAATACATAATGCACGAGATAAGAAGTTTAACAAATTTAATTTGCATCAATATTCACTCACATATATCTGCTACCCTTCAAAAAATCTTGTACAGAACATTTTCCCCCTTACATAATTAAAACATAAAAAAATTGGATTAACCCCCGCTCCTGTCAACCCCCTACCACACTCCCACTCGCACACCCCTAATACATGTACCACATTTTTAGAACACAAAAAATGTTCAATTGTTCCAAGTCAGATGGTAAAAAGAAAATATTCTCCGGCTCATGTCTACAAATAATGATCATTTACATTATAACATTAACAATTAAGATTACAATAACCGAACTGGAAGAGGACGGATTGCAAACGAGGTAACAATGAGGTAAATAAAGATTATAAAATGTCGGTAGCATTATACTAGTGGCCATTTGTAATATTACAGCATATGCCCTGCTAGTTGAAATAGTACCTTTGATACTGATTTTGAATTCACCGATAAACACACAATCGACGTCACACTGTTGAAGAAGCCCTTTCTCTTCTGACGTGAGATCCTTGAGGATGGCCACTGCACTGTTCGGTATGAGGAAGGTGACTACAATGCTGTGGAAAGGTTTTACTCCGTTCAAGGCAATAGTCGCCTCTGGTGTAACGAGGAGCTTTGCCAGGAGTCCCTGAAGTTTCTGGATCTGTCGGCGGTCTGTCGTGACTCCCGAGATATGGAACCTGACAGGCGAGCGCTCTGTGTCACCTAAATAGTATGTATTAAAATTAACAAAACAGAACACATTAGTGTGGCTACTGGCTATAGTCTGCCTGACTAAGTCCTATGTACAACGTTAGAATGTAATGTACATCTTTATAGAAAATATACAAATGATTTACATATATCTTCATATGCATTGTGTTGTTAGTGAATACATTTTATGTTCGAGCTGTCTTACAAAAGATATATTTTACATACATCGTATTAGATAATTATTTTCATCAAAATTACCTTCATCTATGTCGTTAGAGTAAAAGTGTAGAGGAGCCCGGTTACATTGCCTTGCAAATTCCACAAATATTTTGTACAAATCTTTTTTTCCAAGGTTCCATAATAAAGCCTGGACGTGAAGCAGATTATTCCTGTCAAGGCGCCTTGAACGCTTCATGTGATCAAAAAATTGCAGAGGAGTTGTGATTTCTTTCTGGACACGGCGACCTAATCCGCATTCTCCTGGGAAAGTTTCAAATATAGATGTTATTAATGGATGTTGATGGGATTACTTTATTCCAATCGCTATGTTTTCTGTTTTTATCTGATTGCATGCCAGAATAATTGCGATAACGAACCTTATTTACACATTTAATGACGAATTATATAAATGAAAATAATTTAATTTGTCAATTAGCTTTACTTAAACAAAATCTATTCTAACACATAACAAGCTTCTACCTATATCACTTCAACCACCAAACCATACTGGCTATCTTTAATGTATACCTGAATAGAGAAACTTCATCCTGTCTAAATCCTTGTCGGTGAGTTGCTGGGCAATCTTATCTAGGGTAACATTGAGCTCGTAGTCTAGAGGAAGGTCATGTTCGTCATCTATCTCTGTTTCCGAGGCAGCATCCTGGCCTAGCTCGCTGTCCTTACTCCCGGTAATGGAGGATGCCACTGCACGAAATAAATCCCTTCCAGTTTAGGCCTATTACTGTTTTGGTATATTGTTATACGGTATCGTATATGATGTATTACATATCCAGATTAAATAGCATCTGCGTTATTCAGTGTTTATGTTCGTGTATTTTTATTATGTTCAACTATAATTATATGATTTTCGTTTTCAGATACTTGGATTCAGTAGTGCACAAATAAGTTTATATTTAGGAGAACATGTAATTTACTCATTGTTGCTATCGTCTAGTTTATCCAATCTTATCTTTAATACTAAAGTATACTTAATAAAGGCTATTTTTTCTTATTTTTTTCAATATCAATTAACTATGAGGATTTGTTTTTATTCTTACGCAATTTTGTTTACTATAATTGTTGTTTAAAATCAAAAGATAAGGCATACATTGATGTCTGATCCGTTTGACACTCAGTACATTAATGGAAGTTCAAAAGTGAAACCATGTGAACTGAAACAAAGACATGATCGGAGACACAAATCATATTACAAGCTTACTTTTGATGTGATCAGCAGGGATTACTCCATCGTCGGAAAGGTGTAGTCTCCCTCATCAGGTTGATGATGATTTGTCCTGCTACGCTTAGAATTTGTTAATTAATATGTGAATAATATCCAATCATAGATATAATTAAGTCCTTGGGTCGAGTAAGTGGGTTTAATTATGCGTCATTTATCAAATTTTAATAAAGATATTCAAATATCTAATATTAGTAAAACTATTTAAAAATAAGACCACTAGCAGTAATTTATGACTAACCTATTACATCATAAGTCATAAAAACTGAACCATAAATACTATATAATCATCACTCGTGCATGGTTTAATACAAATTTGTTAAACACTTGAATTATGTAGACTCTGTATGATATATATACTAGTATATATATGAAAACAACAGCATCGAAATAGACAAAACTTCAACTGACTGCCGTTACATTAGGACAAGCTTATTTCATACAAAGCAAAAAAAAAGGGTTTAGCTAATTTAGACACCAAACCGGAAGTCAAAGTCCAGAACACTGAATTACTAGATAAAATATTGACACAAGTTAAAAGATTGCTACTATTGCAGCATTTTTATTTTTTGTCAAGCTCTTGATTGTGGCACATCTTAATTCATTATTTGAAACTTATGAAAAAAGATTAAATGAAATTGTAAAAACAAAATAATAAACAAAAAATCAAACAGAAAATTATTTAAAAATGAGTCGAAAATATTTGTCAGTTGTTTGTATCATATCACAACTCCTTCTCTAAATCGACGTATACGTCAGTAATCCTGTTTATAGAACCAGCAAATAAGTAGTTCTCAGAATAGCTTAAACCAATATGGAATGTTCTTCTACCACTATTTACTTCCTTGTCAGTCATTTTACCATTTTTAAATCATCTGATACTGGTGAATGTTTGATGACGATAAACAATAACCGTGGTGAATGTTTGATGACGATAAACAATAACCGATTAAACTTTTAAAAAAAGTTATCGAAGACACACTCTTCTTAGTAAAATGGAACAGTGTAGGCTATTTCAGGGGAAAAAATTACTCCGTATAAGAATTGTGTGACCTACTTTTGCTTTAAACATCGAGACTATGTTATTGTTGAACATTATTTGTATGGTGTATATAGAGACTTCAGTGATCACACTTACCGTTGTATTAATGCAGTCTTTTTCTGAATGTCGATAGATTATGATTTTTTTTTTTATACAATTGTTGTTTCCGAAGTTGGTAATAAGTCCAAATATGTGTATTTCAGCCAATGGTTATTCGAAACACCTCGGGTACATTGTTGCGTTCGGAACACCTCGCTCCGTTTACAGTTCCTTTCATTATAGAATCTATATGTGCAGAATATTTTGCTGGTAGTCTAGGTCACCTAGTGTATGTGCACCTATCCACAATCACATACGACTCAGTGACCTTGACAATTTACCTAGCTGATAGTGTATACTCGTATCGGGCAATTATTGTTTGAATTTATAATAACATTTTATCATATTTTTCCCCGATAAGATATTGGATTCTATCAATTTGATAAAACTGATATATTTCCCTGTTACAGATATCAGAGTAACTTGTTACCAAAATTTGACCGGTTTGACACCCCTATTTTCTACCATTGATTTGTTGACACCTATCTACGTGGATTCGTTGGCTTGTTTCAACTCATCTTCCGCTTTGGTTATTGAGTCTTTTTGCCATTTCAGTCTGTAATCTTTTATAAGATTTTCTCATTCAGTGATCAACATGAAAACCTATACTTACAATACACATCTATGGAAACAAGACATATCAAGATGGGGCCTGACACAACTTTATAGAATTCAGTTGTATTTTTATTCATTCCGTTGACGAAATTGTCCTTTATCCTACTTTATATTTAACCGTTTTATCAAAGAGATTTTTTTAGGGTATCGATTAATTTGTTCTTCCACCCGTGAAAAATCTATTTTCCTGCACCATGATCATACTTTCAAAATCATTGTAACCACCGTATTGGTCATTTATATTTCAAACATTTAATCAGCTTCACGAAGTCCTGTTTTGGCAGAGGGGAAGGCCGTATTGTAATACCCTGGTCGGAAATCTTATCTTGATTCTATGTTTGTGGTTTGATGTTTCAAGCTGACATCGACGTCTCTTTGTCTGTGGTATGTATAACATACTAACTATAAATGATTGTGGGACTAGGAATGTATCTTTAATTGGCGTAAATAAAAAACATTTGATGAAAGTATGGACTAGATATGTATGCTTAAGTTGCGTAAATAGTAACCTTGTGAAGAAAGTAGGAACTAAACACGATGTTTGATAGGTATAAAGCTTAACCCTGTATCACCGCATTAGAACTGGTATGCATGGGACCAGAGCTTTTCTTCCACATTCCAAAAAGAGGGTCACTCTATTCTTCCTTTTGATGATAAACTTGACCTACCAATTATCATGTTTTTATTTTTGACATGTGAAGGCTATATAAATGCAACTGTCAATCTCAAGCAAAAACAGCAAACAACCTTTGTAAGTTATAACTTTCACATCGTATTTTTGTGTTTGTTCATTTGTTCCATAATATCAGTTCCATAATATCATTTTACATTTTGTGGTTGGTATACTTGATATATCGCTGTGGAGACGTTGAACTGAACCCCGGTCCGTCAGTGAACGACTCCAATTCTATTTCATCCTATAGTACTGTGTCATTTGATAACAGGTGTGATCTGTCAATAGTTCATTATAATGTACAAAGTCTGTTACCTAAAATAGATCTTATCATGTCTGAACTTGAAAATTTTGATATAATTGCTATTACTGAAACATGGCTGAACTCTGTAACAGAAACATCTGATGATTTGCTATCTGATAGATTCCACCCACCATTCCTAAATAGTAGATACAACCGCATTGGCCGAGGAATAGCAGTGTATGTGAACAGAAATATAAATATTCATAGACGTAATGATTTAGAATTTATGAATCTTGAATGTATTTGGCTACAGTTAAGAATAATCAATATTAACATCCTCACTGGAACTTTTTATAGACCTCCAAACTCTAGTAATGAACTATGGCATCTTATAGAACACTTTATAGACCTAGCAATTGATACGAATATTAGTAACATTTTCATAACGGGGGACTTTAATGAAAATCTTTTGAACTATACAGGTACTAACAGGCCAATACGTATCAATGATATACTTGGTCGTTATTCGTTGACGCAATTAGTGGAGGAATCTACAAACTTCACGGAATCATCTTCTTCTCTACTTGATTTATTCATAGTTAACAACGCGAACATTATCAAAAAAGTATCAGTTGGCGAATCTTTTCTACCAGCTATAGACTGATATCATTGCCCTATATATATATACCTAGATATCCCTAAATGCACATGCAATTATACCTTTAACAGGAAAATATGGTTATATAATCAGGGCGATTATCATTTGTTCAATACCAAACTTGGAGCAATCGACTGGCGAGTCAATATAGAAAATTCCTCTCTGCAAGAAGCAGTAAACTTCTTAACCGAATCCATACCAGCATGTGCTTCAGTTTCAATCCCTAACAAATTAATTACTGTCCGTTCTCAAGATTCCCCTTGGATGCACAATAATATAAGAACATTATTAAGGTCACGTAAACGTATCCATAGGAAAGCTAAGCGTACTCAGAACCAAGTTCATTGGAATAGGTTTAAACAGCTAAGAAATGCTTGTGTTGATGCTACAAGAAAAGCTATGGCAGAATATTTTAATAAACTAGCTGATAAACTTCAGCTTACAAAATCTCCTTCACGGGAATGGTGGACAATAGCTAACAAGTTTACTGGGTTTTCAAAGAAATCTTCTTCTATCCCTCCTTTATTATGTAATGACGTGGTAATTAACGATGATCAATGTAAAGCTGAAGCATTTAACACCTACTTCTCCGAACAGTCCACTATAAATAGTTCACAAGCTACACTTCCTTTAAAAATGCATTTCCTCTCCCACATCTAGACACACTCAATATAACACCACAAGATGTCAGCGATGCAATCAGTGTTCTTGGTGTATCAAAGGCAACCGGTCCTGACTTAATACACGTTAAACTTTTAAAAGAAGGGAAAGATAAATTATGTGAGCCACTTTGTTGTATTTTCAAAAAGTCTATAAATGATAGTATTTATCCAGACAGTTGGAAAATTGCTAACATGACACCCGTTTTTAAAAAAGGTGACAAAACTATTGTGTCTAATTACAGACCCATTTCTCTCATAAGTATTGTGCGCAAGCTAATAGAACGTTGTGTTTTTAAATATGTGTACAATTTTCTAAGAGAAAAACATTTTTTTTGTACAGAACACCAGTCTGGTTTTACTCTCGGTGACTCTGCTGTAAATCAAGTACTTTATATTACAAATGATATTGTGAAAGCTTTAGATTCTGGTAAAGAAATTCGTTTAGTCTTCTGTGATATAAGTAAAGCGTTCGACAGAGTTTGGCATGAAGGGTTGATATACAAGCTGAAAGTAGCGGGTTTATCGGATAAAATTATCAAATGGTTTGAAAGTTATCTGGAAAACAGAAAGCAAAGGGTAGTTTTGGGCGGGAAGTTTTCAGATCTCAAAAATATTACGGCAGGTGTTCCGCAGGGATCAATACTTGGGCCTTTTTGCAGACGATGCATCTCTTTACATAATAGTGGGCGATCCCAAGGTGGCTAGAAATATGTTAAATAATGATTTTAATACTATTCAAGAATGGGCTGATAAATGGCTGGTAACTTTAATTTAAATCCAAACAAAACCGAAAGTTTACTTATTAGTTTTGAAACCTGACCATGGTGATCTTTACTTAAATACTAGTGTTATTTCTGAAGTGTATAGTCACAAACATCTTGGTGTTTGGTTTTCGTCAAATCTTTCATGGCATGTTCATATAAATCATATGATAGAATCTGCTTCAAAACGTCTAAATGTATTAAGAAAATTGAAATTCAATCTTGATAGAAATTCTTTACAAATAATGTATTTATCATTTGTTAGACCAAATCTGGAATACGCTGACATAGTCTGGGACAATATACCAAATTATCTAAGTGAGAAATAAGAAAGTGTGCAACTAGAGGCAGCCAGAATCGTTACAGGGGGTACCAAATTATCTAATATAGAACTTCTATATAGAGACACCAAATGGGAAAAACTAGCAAATCGTCGTAAAAAACACAAATTAATACAGTATCATAAAATGGTCAACAAAATATCGCCGAACTATCTATCTTCTCTAGTCCCTTCAAGAATTTCCGACAATCATACATATTATACAAGAAGATCCGACTTACATCAGACTGTACAAACACGAACAAACTTGTATATGGAATCTTTTTTACCTTCTTCAATTCGCCTCTGGAATGAACTACCGCTAAATATTAGAGAAAATTCAACAGTTCAGGTACTAAAAACACATCTTGATAATAACAGTATCAGACATGCACCAAACTATTTTTATACTGGTAATCGCAAAGGTCAAATAGTTCATGCTAGACTCCGACTACAATGTAGCTCATTAAACCAACATGTATTCCACAAAAACCTTTCTGACTCACCTTGTTGTGTTTGTGGCTTTCTGATAGAGGACAACTTTCATTTTTTATTTACTTGTGTTAATTATTCTCGTAACAGACAGCAGTACTTATCTGATATAATCTTTAAATACAATATTCATGACAATGTAGATGTTCTTTTATGGGGTGATCCCACACTAAATGATATGCAAAATGCAGAAATATTCATTTCCATGCAGAACTTTATCGTCATGATCAACAGCAGCAGATTTTAATGGCTATTGCATATATAAATTAGTTTTCCTTTACACCACTGAGGTAACTATTTCTATGTGATTCCCTAGGAATCTTTATCAATCAATTTTCTTTTTATTCTTTACTAAGTAACAGCTCGTTGTCAATGTCTTTTACTACGAATCAAATAATGTATAACTACTATTTTTTCATTATTTAAATGATGTTTTGTCCGTCTCATCAATGATGTGTTTAAATGTCCATGTTAATTGCTGCAACTGTACTAGAGGAGAGGAATTAATATAAGCTTATAGCTTGTTTTCCGATCCTCGTTGTATCTGTACTGTATTGTAATGTAGTGTGCAAGTGATGAAATAAAATATTGTTTAAACTAACCCTGTGTTGACAGTAGGAACATAGCAACTGGAATTTTGAGAATTTCATATTGACAGTTAAGCAAAGTGCAGGGATACTCAATGCTGTTTAAATAAGTGTTGGAATTATGGTTACATTCAAATTTTTATAAGTTTTAATGTATTTCAGTGCTCCTATCTAAGATTTAGAAAGTGCATAATTCAATCGAATTCTCTTTTTGTATTTTGGTTGTTTAATGAAACGGCAACGTAAACATTCTTCGATTTTATAGATTATTCTTGAATATTGTACTGTAAGTAGACTGATATTGGCTTGTTAATGAACAACGCTCCATAAAGCTTAATAGGTACACTGGAATCATAAAAGAGGATTAAAAGTTATTGATATAGCATGAGGGTGGACTAATTTTGAGGGGGAATGCTTATCCTATTCCTAAACAAACGAAATCGCTACTTGTCT